CTCGCCGACAAATAGCTCCTCATCTGCCGGCCCGTCAACGGCTGCTCTTTGACGCCAACTCTGCTCTTATCGCTCATCGCCACGGATCCACTCAATCGGTGATAATTAATGATAATTAATGGCAAAACAATTTTCAGACAATTTTTGTATCGCTTTTACCGCCAATTCATACAAAACACATGACATTAACGTCACTTCAATGGTACATAAATACTGTATATTTGATTGAAGGGGAAGGGAGTGAATGTATGCATAAGTAATGCTAAGCTATGATAACAGGGGGTGTCGTGAATGCTATGTAAACAACACGTTATTTACTACTAGTATTACATTTGAAGTCATGTTTTGATTGCAAAAAAAGTTTTTGAATTAAAAGTTTGAAAAGCAATCAAATTATGAGTAAATCTGTGGCCAAGAGGTCGCCGAACGCGTCCAACGTTTGTCTTCCGTTCGCGCATCCAATGAAGACCACCGACGGATCCATCGTTTGGCCGTTCCTTCAGAAAGGGTTTCCACTCTTCGAGGGATTCACTAATTTTGTGGACAAATGTGTGGACATTAGAGACGAGACATCTGTGATAAGCCTTCACAATATGGGGTTCTTTGGCACTGATCCACACCTGAGAACCACTTATGATACGAAACAAAGAGACGATTCCAGACAAACGGTGGACTCCAGAAGTAGACCTCAAAGGGATCCCAAGTATTTAAACGGCAAATATGTGTTGATTGAGACATCGCTGCCGATGGCGTTAAGTGAAGATATTTTTAGTGATAATAAGGGTTCAGATAAAGCGGACAAATGTGATACAAATCCGTCCACAAGTGCTGCTAAAGACTGCGGAACCGACTCGAGTGATGATCAGTCAAAGAATGTGCCAAATGTACTGAAATTATCATTCATGGAGTCATTCTTCATATCTTACGTCTTCGGGTCTTTGAATGTGATGAACACCGAAACCAATAATTATCTGACAATCGATGACATGTGGGAAACATTTGGCACTCATTATAGCGAAGACAAACTGGAGTTCGCCGTCCATTACAGCGCTTACCACTACTTGCGCTCAAAGGGATGGGTTGTGAGGAATGGCACCACTTTTGGCACACATTTCCTGCTCTACAAAGAGGGCCCACATCTCTACCATTCACTCTATTCGGTGATCATTCAGTACGCCATCGACGGTCACTACAAGCAATCGGTTGATTGGTTTTATATGTCAGCCCTCGTGAGACTCCAGAGGAATGTCCGCAAAGTATGCTGTCTTCCCCCTCACAAGTCATTCATTTGTGTCTCATTTTCATTGATTGTTTGTCTCAGGAATTGATGGTTTGTGTGATCGATGTGCCCAAAGATTGTGACATCTCTTCACCCAATTGTATAAAAAACTTTGAAATCGATGTAAGAGTTGACGAAATGATTGATAAATGTATGACATTTGGATTGATCCACGAGTTTATTATATCCACAGTTTCTATCATTCAATCGATGGAATGCCTCAAAAGGATTGAAGGATTTGGAGGACGACTGAAGACTTGATGACTATTTTGTTACACTTTTTAATCAAAATATTTATAAATTGTATAAAATTATGACAAATAAAAATCAAATCAAATTTAGCGCTTATTTTTTACGTCAACTTTAATCGTAACGTTATTTACGGACAGCCTTTTGACCGCTTTTCACATGATTTGCAAAATTTGTTTTTGAAATAAGTTTTGAAAAATTAAATTCATATTCATTTGTTTGTCAAACAACTGAAGACACCGGAGGAATGGTAACTATTTTCGGCATTCAATCATCAATGACTGTTTGTGACAATCAATTGAATGGTGTCTTGTATTTAGTCCAAAGCCGGCGACTCGACGGACAGAACACCACTTCATTGGGCCTCAAGTGATGGCAAACGAGAACTGGTCTTCAAACTGATCCAAGAAGGCGCTGACATCGAGGCCACCGATGAGGTGAGAGCACTGGTGTTTCGTGTGTTGTCATGACAATAGGGCTAATGATTGGTTCCCGCAGATGGGTTGGACACCACTCATGATCGCCGTCTCCGCCGGACACCAACCGGTCGTCGAGTTGTTGGCGGAGAAGAAGGCGGACGTGAATGCCGTCAACAGTACGGGTCAGTCGGCGCTCCATTACGCGGCCTCTAAGGACAGGCTGGCCATCGCTAAGTACCTGATCGACAGCGGCTGTCACATCAATCTTCGCGATAAACTGAATCAGGTCTTCATCGCGAGTCCAATGATTAGATACACTCATGGATTGGGTTTTGATTTAATTGTAATTTATTTTTTTTGTTTCGTTTTTGCACTGAATAGACACCACTTCACAGGTAGTACTGAGTGAATGAATGTCATAATGAAGTGATTTATGGCATCGCTTTTATCACCGAAACGCAGGTCCGCCTCAAAGGGTAACCAAAAGATTGTTGAACTGCTGTTAAGTCGACCGGACATCCAATTGAATCCGCAGGACGTGGTCGGCAACACTCCTCTGTATTGATATATGTTTTTGTAATTACCGTTAATTGAATACTAAATCCCGTATTGAATGGTTTGTCAGGCATTTGACGTGCGAAGAGGAGCGCACAGAAGTGGCCAAAATGCTGATCAAAGCCGGCGCCCGCACTGACATCCAGAATAAGGTAACCATTGATTGACGGCTTTCAGGATTGTTTTGATGAGACAATTGGCTGTGATTTGCATTTCAGGACAAAAAGTTTGCTTTCGATCTCTGTTTCAACGAATCGGTGAAGCGTTTGCTAAATAATTACAGCAAAGAATGTCAACAAACTTAGCGAACATTAGTTCCAAACAATTAATTTCTAAACTATTTTTGAATATTAATGGACTGCGAAAAAGTATAATCAGTGATTATTAATCACCAAACAAAATAACTTTCATTTCATCTTAAATTGCAAATTATTTCGAAAATTGTTTTGTCATTTGGTTTGAAATTCAAGCTTTTTCGGCGATTCCTTGTTTTAATATAATTTATTATTACAAATATTATCAAAATATTACAAATACTATCAAAATATTACAATAAAATTGATATTATTTTCTAAAAAACACAGCATATAATGAATAGACATATTTTCAAATTCATAAAAACCTATATTTCTTATTAAATTACACGCGTTTTCGAGGTATTCCTGTGTCTGACACTTGATTGTCCACATAATCGATGCGTTGGTCGCCCGGAAAAAACAGGTAATAATAATCATAATAATCATAAGACTTCGGAAAAAAGGTTAAAACACAAAACAACAACAAAATATGATTAAGATTTCGTCTCATCGCTGATTACAGTAGTCGTGGGAATGACTGAACGACTGGCGCTCCTAATTGGGGGTCAAATGTCGGCACAAACGGCCACTTTTCCCTTCAGTGAGCTCCTCCTGCGCTCGTGTCTCGACTCGTATTTCGAGATCTTTTGTTTGGCGAGTCTTAGCAGTTGTTCAGATGTGAGCAGCTTTTGTGTCAAGTCATTGATTCTGTCTTTCATGAGATTCAGGTCCGATTCGTGCGTTCTCTCCATTTCGATGATCTTCTTCGTGAGCCTCTCGTACGCGATCTCCAAGAAGTCATAATTGCTCTGCGCTTCCTTCAGCTCGCAATTCAATTTCCTAATTGTCTCCAAATCTTTGTTTTGCTTAACGATCTGATTGTTGGATGGGATCTGTTTGCCGCTCACGTCGTGACAGTTATTATTGTTCACAATTAGCTTCTGCTTATCGTTCAATCCATTCAACCCGTTATTCAGACAGTGATTATTGAGATTCTCGTTAATAGATATGATTTTAATCTTCTCGATGTTCGTGTCGTACGTCTTGGTCTTGTTGTGGTCGTCCTCTTTGTTTTTGATGGTTTTCCTCAATTGGATCAACTCTTGCCGACAGCAGACCAACTCGTGGGTCAGTTGGGAGGCCTGTTCGCTGATGCCCTGCAACTCCACGATCGACGCCTTCAACTTCTTTACGTCACTTAAGGCCGCGTTTCGACGGTTCTTATCTATCCTCTCATTTGAGTCCAATTTATTTATCCATTCAATTGTCTAAATGTTTTGCAAAAACACAGAACTTATTATCAGTTAATGGTTTTTAAAAAGTTTTTAAAAAGTTTTTAAAAAGTTTTTAAAAAGTTTTTTCACTCGTGTTTTGAATACACTTTTTCACAATCTCTCTCTCTTTTATGATTCAGTGAAGCATTTATTGCGAGTAATAAATGCTTAAAACAAAAGCAATAAAAGGATTCATTTGTTTGGAAATTGTTGTGAAATATTAGGGGAAAAGTCATCGAAAAATATATTTCACGGAGAAGTCATTTGAACGCCTAAGCTATCCATTAGTTACGCAAAATAGGAGTTGTCTTTGCGTTGAGTCTTGTGTCGCACGCGGAAGAAGAAGACACTCAGACATCAATCAAAACACACAAACCATTTATGCCATCAAATCAGCCGATGATTCCTCTCATTTCCCTTCATAACTATACACTTATGGAGTATTGGACTCCAGATTGTTATATAAAATGTAATAAGAAATGAGAAAAACTGTCGGAGTTTTGCTTAAAATAAAATATGAGTGAAATAATTGCTTTCGAAGTTTGATGACCTCATTGTGTAAATCGATGTTTGAGTTTAGTTTGGAGTCAAGAAATATTAGTTTTGATTTTATAAGAGCCTGATATGAAGTGAATGTATCTAATAGGACGATACGATTGAGAAATATTTTGATAACTAAACGACCTAGAACAGTTCACATAGCGCTACAAATTTCATTTACAAAAGTTTCATGAAATAAAAGTAATTAATTGTGTATTTGATTTCATTTAAGACTTTGTTTCCAAGCAACGAGCGATTTATTTTTATTCATTAAAACTTTTTATTAGTTCCCGAAATCTATTTGATTGCATACCATAGTTGTATGGAAAGGGGTATATAATACAGTATCTCAAACACTAAAATTAAGTGTATTTTCCTGATTCATATCTAATCCGATAAGTATTTTTGCAGTAGTTTGCAAACTACTCGTATCAACGTTGATGTGATACGATATGAATCTCATTTTGTGGTCATTTTCTGATTGAATTGAGAAATAACTGCTACGATATGTATATTGAAATGTATTTATGAGAACAACTTTGTCACGAATATAATTGAAGAGGACATGACATACCGGTGTTGTATAACATGTGAAATAAGCAGTTTTGCATGTATTGAGTCTTAGCGAAGCACTTCCTAATACTCCCTGAATTGGATGCAATCAATAGAGAAAGAGAAGTGAATGAATGAATAGAGAATACATTTACACAAAACGATAACCAGTTTTTTAGTGAAGATTCCTATGCGTTAAACTGCAAACACAGGCCAACTCTATAGGGATTTTCATAAATATTTCGGTTCACAGTTTACTCCAAAACAGTATTAACTTTTATATTATATTCACGGAGTCTTAAGCGAAACAGTTGGGGCTATAGAGGGATACGGAGGGGTCTCTCCCGATGTATAAAAGACTTTAAATATTTCGGTTCACAGTTTACTCCAAAACAGTATTAACTTTTATATTATATTCACGGAGTCTTAAGCGAAACAGTTGGGGCTATAGAGGGATACGGAGGGGTCTCTCCCGATGTATAAAAGACTTATAAGTGAGCGTCAAAGCCAATAAAGTTAACTCACTTAACACTGTATGGCATAACACAGGGTATAACCATTTGATTGAGGATTACGATTATGATTACGATTAACAAACAAATGCTTTTATGGCAATGTTTTACTATTTGATAAATATATAAGTATTATATTTTACGGCTATTTTATGTGCAAAATTTAGCTTTAAATTAAGTCTCGTGCCGACAACAAGGTATACGAAAAGTATATTTCAATTAAACTCAAATGTTGTGTATTTTCTGAAAACCCACTCCACTTTAAAAAGTCTAATAAATGTTTGGTTAATAGAATATTTAGGTTTAGATTACTTTATAAGGAAAATAAGCGGCATTTAGACTGCGAAATAAGTTCAAAAACATTTTTTAATTATACATTTAAGCGGTACTGACTGTATATTTACTAATTGCGAATTCGCTCCGAAGTATTGAATATAAAAATATTGGTTACAAATATAACCAGTAATAGAAGTAATGGTCTGTAAATAGACTGTGCGCTCAATACATAATTTCGAGATTTAAAAAAGCTTACAAACACTCCGCGAGATTTCACGTATCATTCAATTACTTAAAGTTATTTCTCTCTCTCTCTCTCTCTCTCTCTCTCTCTCTCTCTCTCTCGGAGTTTACGTTTTGAATGAATGATCAAAAGTTATTTAGTTTATATAAGTTATATACGATATGAGAGAATGTAATGAATATGAATTGACACGAGTTTTTATTTGTGGCGATGGGTTGCGTTGGGATATCATGGCATACCTTACTCTTCTCGAGGGCATCGGCTGAATGCACTTCTCGGGTCCGAAAGCAGTTCTGGCATTTCGTTTGCACGAAAATGTTGGGCGAAAACTTGCGACAGTAGGCCTTCAGCGTAGTCATAGTACAAATAGTCAATGGTCTGCCCTTTTTTTATATATTTCGCAGCACTGGACGTTTGGTTTCGGCCTATTTATGCAGCAGTTTTTTTATGGCATAACACAGACCTTCAAATAATTGGCTGAATGTGTGTCTGAGAGCGCAAAAGGTATGCTTAAAGTATGCGGTTCTTTACGCTGACGGAGTGAGAGCACAGGTACTCTACAAGCGCTTATGGCTTAAGGCTATTATGAGAGGCCGGAGATTGCAATTTCTCTTTGGAGTGATCGTACGAGTGATGGCTCGCATTCTCCACAACCAGAAAACCACTACTTCTTCACTGGCAAAGACTCTCCACTCACTTATGGCTCGAAATTATTATTATTAGTCAACACTTATATACAGTGCACAACACTTTTGTACAAATTTTGGCCACAACTTCGCAAATGTCTCGTTTGAATAGAAACAAAAAACTTCGTATAACTTGATAATGTCTTGTATGATGTATAAATTAAAATGGTTTAGCAATGCATACAATTAAGTGCTCGCATGCATTGAATTACTTAATACACGAATATTTCACTAGACTTTCAGATTTTCAGATGTTCTCAGATTTTACTCTCACTTCTCTTGGAGTCGGAGTCTCTCTCTCTGCTCTCTCGACTGACTCTCTCCACCAAAATTCAAGGCCTTCTACTACTCCTTATGTGTGAGGTTTTTTGGGTCCCAAATGTTGGCATCACTCTCAGCACACCATACGATGCGATGCTCTCAAAGAATACATCAATTTTGAAGAATTTGCACACATTTTGTAGAGACAGACAAATAACACATCACTTCTTATCAATTCTCAATTCACAGCACTTTGTGTATTGCTTTTCATTCAAATTGAAATCAGTTGTGGAGTTGAATGCACTCTAACTCTAAACTACAGACTCCTATCCCTACCTCTACTCCAACTCTAAACTCCAAACTCTTTTCGATAAACTCTTCACTCAATTGGTTGACAAATCAAATCAAAACAATCAGTTGTTTCACTTCATTAGCACTTTTCAAACTTTTTTATGCACTTTATTCACAATAATAACTAAATTTTTATATTTCTCACCGCATTTGCATTCTCGTCGCTAGTATTTAAAATCACTTCAAAAGTAAACCAATACTTTATAACAAGTTTTCAATGTAACGGTTGATTAGACTTTGTTCAATGAATTACTAAATTAAATAACAATAAAACTGTGAATGCATTGAAAAAAATTAAATACCAATTAATAGTTTGTTTGAAAGCAAACAGCAAATTGATTTGAGCGGTGCATACATGCAGTGGAATCGACTCAACAAACTGGGCATCAATTCTCTGCTCAACAAAACAGGACTAAGTTTTCTGCAGAAACTGCTTTCGAAACGCCTTCGCATCTGAAGCCACACCACAACCACTCTATGGAACCGACATCTCGTTGCATAAGAACTCAATTCATGTATTACTTTATGAAGTTTATGGTAATCATCGCAAAACGAGAAGACAAACCCTGTTTTTAATGCATTGAAAGTTAATTTTTTTATTTTGAATGATTAAAATCTTGCGAAATAAATTTTAATGTATGTTTACCAGAATAATATCGCATATCTTAAATAAACCACAACATAAAGTAAAAATTATAACTTATACTGAATTAATGTATTGTAATGAAAAACTTTCGTTTGATTCAAATGATACCGTGTTTTTGATTGAAAATTATTAGTAATTCAATTTGAAATTATTATTTTAACACACAAACTATATTGATCAGACCTAAAAATAATACATTGTATCTAATTTGTACCAGGCACAGTGGGAACAATGAAAATATTCAATTATTGGGAGCACTGATTATATGTGCAGTTGCTTATCGTAAGTATGCAATAAATGGGTTAAAATTGAGAGGTGTATATAAAATCACGTTTTAGTTGTGAACTTAAATTTAAATAACAATTGTTTTTATTCATCAGAATTAATACAACAAATAATCATTTATAACAATAACTAATGTCTTAATATCGTATGTCTTGAGAACAATTGGCTTTGGGTTTAGTAATTGCATTACATGTCTAAAGAATAACACAATGTTTATGACTTATACACAAGTTGTCTACATTTTAATACAATTAAATATATTAAATATGGAAAATATGGGAAATCATATTTTAGAGACTTTTCCGAATAACACAATCGCTTATAGTTTAACATTTTGCTTTCATTTACACCTAATAAAAGGTGCTAAAAGCATGCTACCCAGGGTCATAACGGTTCTAGCTGTCTATTAATAAAGCATGACATATGACATGCATGGGAACGGTATGTATCGTTGCAGTCAATTCTCGCAAACATACATTAGTCCAGTGAAGAATAAACGGGTGACTATTGTGTGCGACAAGAGATGAAGTGATCAAAGTATAAAAAGGGTATGTTTTTAGTGACCATCCACTGTATTGTATCAAAATAATGACCAGATCGCAGAATAAAAACGGATGAGCCGTTGTCCGCATCCACGTCCGCGACTGGATTGGCGCCGACATCTGACCGCAACCTCGTGCCCGCTTATCAAACAATTATGGCGGATGTGCTTCAGTGACAAATTTGTTTTAGTATTTTAAAAATTTAAAGCATTTCTACATAAATACTAATATTTTTAATTTAACAGGACATTTGTTGTGGTGTACTAGTTAATTGAATGAAAATACAATTAAGTTTTACTTTACTTAATCTGCGCTTAATTTATTTCTAATCAGTAAAAGATTTTTAAAATGTGAAAAAATTACATTTCGTTTGTGGCCTAAGCTTAACAAAAAAGCAATGATAGACCTGATGACCCAATAATTGTATTATTTGGCTAAAAAACTTTCTCCTCAAAAGTTGTTTCGCAGGTTTTATCCACTGTTTCTAAAAGTTTTGATTTGTTATATCCATCAGAAAAATATTTTATTATTGTTTTTGCAAACCATATCGTCTTCTCATTCATACGAAGGTTATAATTACTGTGCAAATCGGTCTCCAAAGTACACAATAGTATTCAATTTGTTTCGGACTTTTAGTTAATTGAATTACTTGTTCAAATTGATTTGTTATGTCATTTGTATATAAATTACAAGTTATTTCAACGCTTGCCGTGTTATGTGTAATATGCGGACGTCTATTAGGTTTTGAAAGTGAGTTTCTATTTTTGAAATGTTTATCTAATCAGAGGTTTTTGTAATTAAAAGTTTTTATATCTATTATTACGATCCTATGTGTATGATACAGTCAATTAATTTGACAATTACGTTTCCGGTATGAGGGTTAATATACAATATGGTATATATATAAAGGGTTATTAATATTCCTACAAAAACAAAATTTTATTAACAATTATTCTTAATATTATACATAGTTTTATATTTAACACAAATTGGATTTGTTTTATCAGAATATTGAGAATATTTAAAAGTATTATAAGTTAATATCAAACAGGTTAGTCATTAAAACATTGAATAATTTATTTTGAGAAAGCGTTAAAAATATTTTTATTAATTATATTTAATAATTCCAAATACCAAAAAATATATAATAACTTATTTAAACAAAAGTTTGCATTTTATTTTTATTATTGCTTTATTAGTAAAATCCTTTTTAATATAATACAAAACTTTGATTAATTAAACAAAAAGTTTTGATGAAAATAAAAAAGTTTTTAAAACTTAAAGAACTTTTCAATACTATAAACTTAATGAATTTTATCGAAAAACAAATAAAAATTGTTATGCTTTTGGAAATTGAATGCGATTTTTCGGTTTGGTTTAAATAATTAAATTTTTTTATTTCAAACATTGAGTTTATTCGCAACTAATTTGCATTCAAACATGTTTTGGCGTTAATCATAACATTATAAAGAATTGAGACAAAGAGAAAACTTTTATCCTCAATATTAACAACATTTATAAATGAGACCTAAATTGTAATTATTCTCAAATAAAAGCAACTTTTGTTTTATTTATTAATTTGGATGAGAACTGCGAGAAACCAACAAACGGGTAGAAAATGTAGAAATCTTCGCTCTAATTAGCTCTCAATAATTAACATAATTCACACAAAACATACAATTAAATGATAAAACAATAAAACATTTATTAATATTTAATTAACATTTATCGCTAAACATGTGAAACACGAAGCGAGTGAAACTGAGAGTGAATTCTACTGCAAATGTATGGACTATTGGGAGTGTTTGACAATCGGCGGTCAACTCTATTCTTACTGTATGTTTAGTAATGAAGGTATGGATTTAATTTAACAAATCATTTTGAGTTTATTACTAAAATAGTTTTTATTTATGAATAGTCTGTTGTATGGCAAACAATTCCATCACTATTGAGACTCACCTGAAGATTGAAAACAAAACTCCTTTTTGTGGTAAAAAGGAGTTTGACTCAGGAATTGAAAACTTTGCCGAATTTGGCGAATGGGGGTGGCATGTAATGTATCACTTTCATAATCAGTTAATTACTGTAGTAACCTCATAATTTAGATTCTCATCACATACTCACTCGCATAATTAACTTAAAATGTATTTAAACTAAATTAATTTCATGCAAACTAAGCATTTACTATCCATTATCTACTAGATTGCCATTTTGGTGGCCCATTCAGACGTGTATATATGCGGCGGTTCCCTAATCGATGAGAAATGGATATTAACGGCCGCTCATTGTGTTATGAATCAGTGAGTTATTGTAATTATTTTGTTAAAGAAATTTAATTAATTATGAGCTCAAGAGAGCCGCAAACTTTGAAAGTAAGAGTCGGTGAATACGACGTGTCGTCCACCAAAGAGCCAGAAAAACACGAAGAGTTTGGTGTCAAACAAGTATACATTCACTCAGATGTGAGTCTATAATCTCATTTGGTCTTATATTTGCATTAATTACTGTCATTAAAAAATATTATTTGATTTATAGTTCAATAACAACAGTCTACTCAACGATATCGCACTCTTGGAGCTGAAGGACTGGCCACAGAAGAGGCCCAACATTAACATTGTATGCCTTCCCAGTCCAGACATATTCACACCAGAATTCATAGTGAAATCCAAGTGTTTTATAACTGGTTGGGGAAAAACAAATGAAAGTAAGTTTTAGGCAAACAAAAAATAAATATTAGTTTTCCCATTAACTCTAATTAAATTAAGATAAGGACTTTTTAAATTAGTTGCAGGTGTAATTATATTTTTAAAAAGTTTTTGGTAACTTAATGTTGATTTAACTGATTACATTAATTAGTCTACAATTTTTGTTTATCTGATAGTTTTAAGTTGTTTAGAAATTATTTTTGGGCTCAAATGATAAATAAAATTTTGTTACAAAATATGATAAATGACTTCAAGTGAAAACTATCGAAATGTATAATTATTTATATTTAGTGATCAAAATATATCAAGTATTATAAGTGTATTATGTCATCAATCAGATGGTGGTTATTCGCCAGTTCTGAAAGAGGTTTGGGTCCCTCTTTGGAACCGATCGCGATGTCAACAGTCATTGAGAGTGCAATTTGGGCCCAACTATACTCTCCCGCAGACTGTCATCTGTGGCGGTGATGTGGGACACGACGCTTGCGATGGCGATGGGGGCGGAGGTCTGTTCTGTCAGCACCACGACGTGTGGTATGAGATCGGGATCATTAGCTTCGGCATAGGATGTGGTCGTAAAGACAGTCCCGGTGTCTACACTAATGTCATGCATTACTTGGACTGGATCTCTAATATGACTTCTCATGAATTGACATTTAATTGAATAAACAAATAATTATTTAATTTTGAAAAAAGATTTTTTAATTTTCTTTATATTATACATAAATCTTAGTCATTAAAAATGAAAACCATATCAAAATCATCGAGTTTAAGTTTTTGGCTTATAATTAAAAATTGTGCGAAACACTGATTCATTTTATTTAAAAATGTCTGGATTTTTGTTAACTTAATTCGTATGCAATTTATAAATAAGAAAATTAATTAAACACGATATTATTTTTAAACATTTACAATAAATGATACGTTAACATAATGAAGTTTATTGATGTGTAGTAAGTTTATGGCCAATAACTTTCAATGGGTTCACCAGTGTGTTGAGTAATCCACTTCAGAAATTTAGATACTTTCACATAAACTCCTGGAACTCCAGGTTTTCCGCAGTCAATACCCCATCTATTATACCATAAATATCATCAATCAAACAATCATTGCATACAATCAAATTTTATTTCACAATAATTTAGGTCTCTTTCTTTCTCTCTCTCTCTCTCTCTCTCTCACACACACACACACACACACACACACATAATTTTGTTCAAAATATCTGAAATACGAGAAGTTTTTCCCATAATTTTAAAAACATAATTCCTTACGACACGAGTCCGGCCAATGAATACGTCCCGTCACTCCGATAGCAAACCTGACGTTAGGAATAATAATTGGACTTAATTTGGATATCGACTACGATTTGTAAGTTTTTTTGCTGCTCACCAAAGGGCCGCCTCCGTCTCCTTTGCAACTGTCGACCCCCTGTTCACCTCCGGCGCAAATAAAGCTGTCGTGGAGTCTACGAGAGAGTAATTTGAGACAATTATAATTCAGATTTTCAAGTATTGCTTCATTGGTCACCTAAAACGAGGTCCAAGTCTTGTTTGAGTCAACGCTGTCTGACACTCGTAGTGATTGAGTACCGGAACTTTGACTTCCTTTAATATATTTGAATAACTGCCCCCTTCTTCGCAAGCATACAATTATAATCACAGTTTCTGATTAGCATCTTACGTAATAAATTATTTTTACAATTTATCAAAATAATTTTTAACGACTTGTCACTTTTAAATTATGTAAAAATAGTTAATATACTGGCTGCTAATGCTAAGTATTAAATACTGAATTCTTAACACACACAAAAGTTTAATTAAACATAAAACCTCAAAATATTGTCTAAAGTATGCACACTATGCAATTAAATAATTAAGGATTGTTTGTTAAATGAGTTATTTGATTGAAATTGTCTAAACACTTACTGTAAGCACTTTTACCCCAACCAGTGGTCACGCATTGCATTGAATCGAAATTTTCTTGAATTGATGGCAAACACACGCTATCGATGTGCGGCTTAAACTGGACTTCACTCTCGAGCCTAAGTATCGCCACATCGTTCCAGAGACTCCCGTTCCGGAAAGCCTTATGGATCACTATATTCTCCACTTTGTAGTCTTCGTGGTGTAGGAATTCACTAGTCTTTTGTGTATCCCATTCCCCCAATCGGACCACTAATTTGTATTCACTATTATGACTATAAGACAAACATATAATTAAATGATATGTTGAGAGCCGACACACAAACACCTTAATTACAAAACTCACGAGAACTGAGAGACACAGTGAGCGGCGGTTAAGGCGTGCAAGTGATCGATGAGAACACCCCCGCATTGGAACAGATTAGCGCCGTTTTCCACCTTAAGTATAGCCGCCATCCACGGCCACTCACCAAAGTCGGACTCCCCGGTCACATCGGGTGCCAAAATACGTTTGTTGATTCCGCTCGGGTTTCTGATCCCACACTTATGTACGTACGGTTTGGTTGTGGACGACTCCGGGTCCTTACAGCACACGTGAAATGTGCCACAAAAGGGCGGCTTATAATTGGACTCCTATTGGACAAAAACACGGGGTTTATTACAAGACTTTTTTACATTAATTAATTGTTCATTACTAGTGGGATCTCCTGCTCCGGAGGTTTAATCTTTCTCGGATCTATGATACCGGAGCCGTCAGTTATGATATTTCCGTCGTCGCACTGGTAGTACGGAACGCATATACAGCCATTCGCTCCCTTTAAACAAAACTTCATAATTAATTGAACAGATCTCCCAATTAACCACCAATGCATACAATATTATCATCCACATTTTTGGTGCCTTTATCGGTGTCATCATATTTGGAGTCATCCTGTGCTGGCTGTGTGTCGTACTCTTGTGGGGGTACATCAGGTGCCATATCGGGTCTCTTACCCGGAGGAACTCCTGCGTCTTCATAGGTCTTCTTCTGTGGGCCATAAGTGCCGGACGGATACACTTTCACTATTGTCTGGTCCCTATTGGAAGCGCTCAAAGACCTGGAGAGCGGCCTATTGTTGCGGTTGTAATATCGTTGACATTGAACTGTGTTTTGATTAAAACATAAATAAATAAATACAAGTGTAGTTCCTATGAACCACTTGTCCGACACAGAAGTAGTCATTTTTAACATTAATTGTGATCTTAAAGTAGTTATAACTTATGATATGATTTGTTTGCTTATTACAAGTCGTTTACAATAAAATATTTACTATTAAACTGACAAAAGCGTCAAAAAGTTTACATTTTAATCCAATTCAAGGTTTCTTTCCTATGAATTATAAAAGCATTTTTAGTTACATTTGAAGCAATTCTGTTACCCTTATATAAATTGCTAAAACAATTACATTACGTCAGACTGAATGTCCCCTCAATTAAAACCAAAGCTCTCGTCCCTCTCTCCCTCCAAACCACTCATCAAATCATTACTTATCTTATGTCAGAGTTTTATGATTTCTTACAATTAACTGTTGAAATATTTTATACGATACTCAGGAATGTATGCATATAATTATTTTATATAATACTGTATGAGCAGGGACTTCTCTCAAACAATGATCTTTAAAAAATATACTATATATTCAAGGATCAAATAGTATATATAAATTCTAAATCTATAGATTTTTATTGTAAGTAATATACTGTATAATAATTTATTGAATTTAATAAATAACTATTTAATTGTTTCTCAAAATAAAAATGTTTAATTCTGTGCTCATCTCCGCAAATACTATTGTTATTTATTGACCAAAACTTGTTTACATCAATCACTTGGAAGTCATAAAAGTTGCAAAACTTATACACATTTTTAAAAATATAATCAATTTTCATGAAAACTATTTAACGAATTCTTAGACAAAAAGCTATTTTTAAGTGTATTAACAGTATTAAGCAATTTGTGAATCAAAAGTAAGTCTAATACCTGCGAGGAGTGGTAGGAGTCCCCAGAATTAGACGAAAATTGCTGGGAGTGTACAATGGATACAAAAATCATAAAAACTTTTTTTTAGTGAATCCCATCCCATTGTGCCAACCATTCAAACAAAAACTGCCTTTCCTTCAACACAATTAGAGTTGGAATTTCCAATAATTTCTTTCATAAATTGAAGCCTAATTTGTATACAAAATGGTAATTGTTTTTCGCTGGAAAACTACATCAATAACTATTTCTCATTTCGGTTTTCTTAACTCGTTTACCACTTTTCTCTCTCAATTCAATTCAATTATCGTAATTATCTTATTATGAAAAACTATTGCCAACAAAATTGTTTCATATATTAGAATTTAATGGTTTTTTAATTTATACTAAACTTATGAACACTTAAAATAGATGCCTAATGAATTGGATAATTTTAATCGCGTTGAATATATTATTAAATCATAAAAAGGCTCAAAGTGTGCACTAAATTAAACTGTTTTTAATGAATTTTTTTAAACACTACTTGTTAAATGATTTGTGGGTTATGAGGGCTATTATGGGGTCTCATCTCAAAGGCATTCAACATACATGTCCTGAATATTATGCAAAAGTTTATAAAGTTTGTAACTAATGTTTAGACAAAAAACAATGAACTCATTTGCAAAAAAATACTTCAAAACTAATATGTTTTGCTCTATTTTATCAAGTCTTCAGAAAAAGTTTTAGCCAAAAATCTATTGAATAACAATTAATCGCAAATCAATTGCCTATCAAAGCGCTTGGGAATCACTGCCGGGGAATGAGGGGAATGTGGGGAACATGACTGCCATCTGGATGTTTGTCGAACGCCGTTGTATTGAGTGTTGTGTTGTCAGTGGAGGCAATCGATTCGTCATTTTATTTACAGTTTTCTCATTCAATTTCAATTCATTTTCGCCACACTTCTCATGAGTGTGTCATTTGGTGTCCATTATCTGTGCGCTCAGTTGACACGAGACATCAGCGACCACACCATCGTCCGCTCGCACGTGTGACCAACTGATCCAGTGGTGACACAATCGGATTTGTGGTGACGGTTTCGCTCAAACTATACACACATTTGACGCGCAAACTGATGGCAATTGTGTTGATTTGGCCTCAATTGTGGTGATCTTGTGATCGGACACCAGAGACAATGGACTCGTTTGTGGCCGCGAGTGACGCTCAGATGATGGCACACATGATGGCGGCCGCCAAGAGCTACGACTATGTCCTGAAATTCCTATTAGTGGGCGATTCGGACGTCGGAAAGGATGAGATACTGAACAACTTGGATGAAGACAACTCGTCCGACGAGCCCGCCTTCGGCCGGTGCCCTGGAGTGGGCTATAAGACCACAAACATCCTTCTGGACGGCAAACGAGTGCGCCTTCAGGTGTGGGACACCTCAGGACAGGGAAGGTTTGAGACCATCTTCAGGTCCTACTCGCGAGGAGCGCAGGGAGTGATTCTGGTGTACGATATCACCAACAAGTGGTCGTTCGCCGGTCTCGACCGATGGCTCCATCAGATCGAAGAGGTAGTGGCCGTCGAGGAGGCGGTCATGTGTGGCGTTGACTATGAAATGTCTAATTGTTGTCTATTTGTGTGTTTCGTTTGACAGCACATCCCAGGAGTGCCTAAAATACTGGTCGGCAATCGCTTGCATCTGGCGTTCAGGCGACAGGTCAGCGAATATACGGCCCAAACGTATGCTCACAAACACAGTATGACTTTCTTCGAAGTCAGTCCTCTCTGTAATTACAACATCAGAGAGTCTTGCGCTGAGGTATGCCTCCAATCGGACACACATTTGTCGTCAAACTAATCATATAATTGATGTGTATTTTCGGGACAGTTATCGCGAATGGCTTTACAGCGCAATGGGATGGAGAACCTGATGAGAATGAATACGGGTTTGTCTTAATCTATACCACGGTTTGAGTGGAAACTAATTGCCATTTCGTTGATCACACAGTTCTGTCACTACAAGAGCTGTGCTGTCGTGCGATCGTCGCGCGGACTACGGTCTACAGCATTGAACGCCTGCCGCTCCCGAAAACACTCAAGTCGTGTCTCATATCGTTCTCATCGCTGCCGAACTACACGCTGTCGTGGCGGCCGTCCAGACATCAGTACAGATCACCGAAAGAAAAGAAGACAATCGCAAAGAAAGCCAAAGCGTTCTTCTCTTGTGATAACCTGACGAAAGCGATGTCTTCGACGTCTATCGCCTACAACACCGGCGCTGCCGCCACTAATACACCCAATAGTAGCCGCAGAAGGAGTCATAATAGCGGTAATGATCGCAACAACAGGTTCTGTACGATATCCTAGTCTACGATCACAACCCCATTGTCTCAAATGTTTACTCATTTTCTCAATTATATATACATTTAATTATTATATTTCAAAAAATCCTCATTTATTTACGAATAAAATCATTATTTTAATGCATAAAACAATTCAATGGATATTAGATTAACTTAATTTACAAAATATCTGAATTATCAATGGGTGGTGGGTTTAGAATCTGAAGTTTGATCGGTTCGGGCGCCGGCTGTTTATGAATGTCTGGGCAGTGGGCCTATAACTGATGGATTGGCTGTCATTGATTTGTCTCAATTGTGAGGCTAATAGTCCGGAATCGTCTCTACGGTAATGTGTGGTGCGAGGGGTTGGGTGTGAGTCGAGTTCAAACTCGTTGACCGAATTGGACAGTATATTACAACTCATGGGAAGTCCGTCTAAGAGTCTGAGGCTAATAGTCCGGAATCGTCTCTACGGTAATGTGTGGTGCGAGGGGTTGGGTGTGAGTCGAGTTCAAACTCGTTGACCGAATTGGACAGTATATTACAACTCATGGGAAGTCCGTCTAAGAGTCTGTTGTGATAGGTCTGACACGCGGTCTTAGCATTGATTGGGTCCTCGAATACGATGAATACCATTGAACTGTTCACACGAGTGATGCGAACCAGTTGTCCGATCTCACCAAACAGTTCCTGATATGATCATCAAGTCTTAGTACCGTATGGTATGGCTTAGTGTCACGAATGGCTTACTTTCATGTCATCCAAAGTGATGGTTGGGTTCAGGTTTGACACCAAAACCGTGCTCTTCGAGTCGTCCGTTAAGTAGGGCTTTGGGGTGACGGCTGACGAGGAAGGCATGCCATAAGCAGCCGTCGATGTCTGCGGCAACATCTGCACCATCTGTTCCATAGATATATAGTATTTGTTATGAATTTATATTCAATTCAATTGTCAATAATTGTCTGAATGACTAAACCTGAGGAATAATAATGGGTTGAGTGGACGAGACAATTGTCTGTCTCTGCCTTTTGGGCTCATTTCTAGTCCTCTTATGTTTCTCTCTTATCACGTCTTTGACGAATGGCTTTGGAGTCAACTTCAGCCGCGAATTGTCTCTGATTTGCGACAAATTCACCGAAACTATTGGCATCCTCTGGTCGTTATCCAAAGACACCCTCTTCTGGGTCTGCAGTCTCTGCGGCTGTCGTTGTCTCGCAGTTGTGATACCCGTTGCGGTGATCGCTAACCGTCTGCCAGTCTTGTTGTTGGTGTTGTTGCTCCCAAACCTGTTACCACCGATGGGCTTACGAGTGATCATTTGCCGCAAATCACTCACTGGTCGGCCAACAGGTCCCGCGTTTCTATTCCTCTTCGTCGGCAATCGTCTCAATTGGTTCAGGCGTTGTCTCGCGTCCATTGGTATACCACTCTTCCCGTCACTTCAATAGGATTTCATATAGTCTTCAAACCTCTGCAACCAATTCAATGGCAAACCAATCGCTAAATCATAGATTGTCTGTCAAAACGATGGCAAACATTGAGACAATTAATCCGTTTTTTGTGTTTGTTTTCAAAACAATCAGTCATTCATTAAACACGTCTATAGTATACGTCAAGTGTATGTCCCAAATGTCGCCCCCCTGTGCCCCCCACTCACACATCTTTGCAAATGTTTAATTAAATTACAATTAATTATAAGTTAATTAAAAACTTATAAATAACTTTAAAAACAGTCTATTTATGGCATAATTTAATGGTCTAATCAAATACTCGCACAACTATTTGCTTGCATTTCACACATAACAGTAATATCCACTGAATTTCGTGTGCTTTTTGAGTGCATTTCACAACACTTTTCATTCATGTGTTGACGAAATGAATGCAATCTTTTCGACATTTGTTGTGAAAACGTATTCATTATATTCGACGAGTTTTTGAAACACACTTTCCTTGCATTCAATCAATTGTTTCCCAAATTATTCACACATTTCGTTGAATTATGTTTCGCTGACACGAGTCCTGGCTTTCTGTCCGTCAATCGTGTCGTGAAAGACGCGGATATGATTGAACCCAAGGAGGAGATCATGAGTGGCGATGAGGACGAGAAAGAGATGGCAAACGCCGAGGCGGACAGTAAGCCGAAGAAGAGCCAGAAGTTTGCGAAGATATGCATCGATTTGAATGCCATTCCGTCGCTGGAAGTGGAGGAACAGGACTCCGAGCTCTTGGGTTTAGGGATCACTGCTTTCGACCAAAGAGTCTATGAGGAGAATGTGATGCTTCAGGTGGACAGAGCCCTCGACCACCAACGGGTCCAACACACGCCTTCCACCACTGCATCCACTTCTGGTCATCAGAGTCTTCCTCACGTGTCCGCACGCGTGGACTCATCCGATGGGAACTGTTCCGCGCGTTTAGACATTAAGAGCGAACCCAAAGATTTTACGGACGAATCAAGCGATGAATTTAGTGATAATTACTGCCATAAAAGACCAGCGATTCCCGTGACGACTGAAACGGTGGACCAATTGAGTGATTCGGACGCTAATGATAATCATATGGACGATGAAGTTGTGGACGAAGACGACGACGAAGAGTGCGATGAGTGGAAGCCGTCGCGCGATGACTACGAAAGTGATGATCAGATTGAATATGAAGAGAATTCTGAGGAGGAATTGGAGGGAAATGTTGTCCGAAAAGCGAGAAAATCCAAACCCAAAGAAGAGAGACGTAAGAAATGTGTGGTTAAGGAGCGAGTGGTCGACGACGGGAACGACAAGTGCTTTCAAAAGCGAATTCAGTGAGTCTTGACTTCAGACACCATTGGAACTGATGAGACAATTGATTTGAATTTGAATTTACTTTTCAGAGAGTATAAGGAGCAGCGACTCATTGAAAGACATGATAACATACGTCCGGACGGCACAGAAATTCAAAATTTGGACGAAATGGTAAAACTCGACAAAGGATTCAAAGTACCGAAGCGAGTGTGGGATCAACTCTACCCATACCAGCAAACGGGTGTTCAGTGGCTGTGGGAACTGCATGGCAACGGTTGCGGAGGGATTGTCGGCGATGAGATGGGCTTAGGAAAGACCATTCAATTGATTGCATTCCTCTGCGGTCTCAGCTGTAGTCGATTCCACGACTTTAGAGATTCATACAATACTTTAGGACCAGTGATACTTGTCTGTCCGGCCACTGTTATGCACCAATGGGTCGCGGAGTTCCATAAATGGTGGCCCTATTTCCGAGTGGCTATTCTTCACCAAACAGGCAGTCATTCCGGCAAAAAGGATACACTCATCAGAGCCATCAACAGATCCAATGGTATTCTTATCGCTTCGTACTCCGGAGTGTGTAGTCATCAGAAGTTACTGTTGAAACACGACTGGCATTACGTTATCCTCGATGAGGGCCATAAGATTCGTAACCCAGAGGCACAGGTATGTGACGGTATTATTCATTTGATAGGATCCTGAATAACATTACTATGAAATCATATAAATTACATTGATATGACATGTGTCCGGTTATTCAGGTGACCCACACGTGCAAACTGTTCGCCACTCCCCATCGGATCATACTATCGGGTTCTCCCATTCAGAACAATCTGCGAGAGTTGTGGTCACTGTTTGACTTCATATACCCGGGAAAGTTGGGAACACTGCCAGTGTTTATGGAGCACTTCTCCATTCCCATCACAATGGGAGGGTATGCCAACGCTACTCAAGTCCAGGTATATACCGTATATCCACTCAATTGATAAACCAATTTGAAACGAGCACTGAATCGTAAACCAAATACATTGGACACCAGATCCAAGTGGCCTACAAGATGGCGACCATATTGAAGGACACGATTCAGCCGTTTCTGTTGCGACGAACCAAACTCGAAGTGAACAGTTGTCTAACGCTTCCGGCGAAGAACGAACAGGTCTTGTTCTGCAAACTCACGGATGAACAGCGAGACCTCTACAAGACGTACATCGAGTCGGCGGCCGTTAAAGACATCATGAAAGGCAGCGCACAGATATTTGTGGGTCTAATAAATTTGCGCAAAATCTGTAACCACCCGAACCTCTTTGATAAGAACGCGTCCGAACTCAACCTATTGAGAGACGACTCCGGCTATTATAAGAGGTCCGGGAAGTTGCGAGTCGTGGACGTCTTGCTCAGGATTTGGCACAAACAGAGCCATAAGGTTCTGGTGTTCACTCAAAGTCGACAAGTAATGCAATGATTTGTCAATTTCTCGGCGATTATCCAAATGTCTAGTAATTTGTGTGATTTGTGTCAACAGATGATCAAAATTCTCGAACACTTTCTAAGGCACAGGAATTATAGCTACTTATTGATGGACGGCTCGACGTCCGTCCAGTCGAGGCAACCGCTCATTAAGCAATTCAATGAGGTTTGTGTTGATTATGAATAGTGTTTACGAGATATATATATCTGACAATTGATTGGTGGAAACATAAAGGATCCGAATATATTTGTGTTCCTATTGACCACACGCGTGGGTGGCATCGGTGTGAACCTTACGGGCGCTAACCGGGTGCTGATCTACGACCCCGACTGGAATCCCAGCACTGATATGCAGGCCAGAGAGCGGTGTTGGCGTATCGGTCAGAACAGGTCGGTCACGATCTACCGGTTACTGTCCTCTGGAACCGTTGAGGAGAAGATATATCAGCGCCAGATATTTAAGCAATACTTAACTAATCGGGTGTTGAAAGACCCCAAACAGAGACGATTCTTCAAAACCAACGATTTGTATGAATTGTTTTCGTTGGGCTCCGACTCAAGGACTACGGAGTCGGACGCCGTGTTCGCCGGCACCGACTCCGAAGTCCGAGTCAACCCAAACGCCAAGAGATTGAAAAAGGCGTCGAATTCGCCGCCAAATAGTGATAATAAGAGTAATAATAAGTCAGAACTTTCTGCCGAAAAGGTGCGGGAATTGCGAGAAAGAGCTAAACTGTTGAGTAAAATGATTGCCGAGAAGTTTGCCAAAAAAGATGACAATACTAACAGTGCTATCGATTCGAGCGCTCACTGCAGTAGAGTTAGTGAGAAAACTAGTGATAAGACAATTGTGTCGAAAAGTGTGTCGATTCCCAGAAGTGATACAAAAGTGAGAAATAAAAAGGAGAAGAAAGGCACGAAATTCGAAGGAAAACGTATTAAATATTTAGCAAAACAGGAGATATTTAAGGATAAGAATAATGAGAAGCAGTCGAAAGCGGAGGACGAATATGTGCTGAAGAAGCTGTTCAAGAGATCCAAAGTTCAGAGCGCTCTCCAGCACGACGTCATTGAGAACCCGTCGGCGCCCGACTTCGCGATCGCCGAACGAGAGGCCGAGACTGTCGCCAAACAAGCGATTACTGCACTCAAGAAGTCGCGAGAGATGTGTCTCAGCGGTCGGTCGACAGCCAATCCCTTATCTGGTCTTAAGTTCGGCACCAAATTCGGGCAAAAGAGGAAATTAAGTGACAATAGCGAGAGTACTCTCAACAGCCGGTCTCTGATTAACGAAATTAAAGCTCGAAATAAGTTTGAGACCGAAGACAACGCCTCCGACACCGAAGACAATAGCAGTGATACGCAGAGAATGACTCTGAATCCCGAATACGAGACACTTTTGTCTGATATTAGACATTATATTGCATTTCAGTGTAAGAGTAGTGTCGGCAACAGCGGTGAGGCGACTACTCACGAGCTGTTGGAAGCGTTTAAAGACAAACTGCCGCCAAATCAGAGCGCGATCTTCAAGTCGATGCTCTACCAGTTGTGCCAATTCTACCGGACATCGGAAGGGGTGGGCGTTTGGAATACGTCATTGAGAACCCGTCGGCGCCCGACTTCGCGATCGCCGAACGAGAGGCCGAGACTGTCGCCAAACAAGCGATTACTGCACTCAAGAAGTCGCGAGAGATGTGTCTCAGCGGTCGGTCGACAGCTAATCCCTTATCTGGTCTTAAGTTCGGCACCAAATTCGGACAAAAGAGGAAATTAAGTGACAATAGCGAGAGTGCTCTCAACAGCCGGTCTCTGATTAACGAAATTAAAGCTCGAAATAAGTTTGAGGCCGAAGACAACGGCTCCGACACCGAAGACAATAGCAGTGATACGCATAGAATGGCTCTGAATCCCGAATACGAGACACTTTTGTCTGATATTAGACATTATATTGCATTTCAGTGTAAGAGTAGTGTCGGCAACAGCGGTGAGACGACTACTCACGAGCTGTTGGAAGCGTTTAAAGACAAACTGCCGCCAAATCAGAGCGCGATCTTCAAGTCGATGCTCTACCAGTTGTGCCAATTCTACCGGACATCGGAAGGGGTGGGCGTTTGGAATCGACTACTCACGAGCTGTTGGAAGCGTTTAAAGACAAACTGCCGCCAAATCAGAGCGCGATCTTCAAGTCGATGCTCTACCAGTTGTGCCAATTCTACCGGACATCGGAAGGGGTGGGCGTTTGGAAACTCAAACCAGAATTCAGATAATAATTTTATATAAATCATTTACAATACTTTGTATACCATATATACTGTATTTTTATGATAACATTACATAGAATTATGATACTGGTATTTTAATTGAAAATGGATTACATTATATAAGCTATTATTAAATTCTAATTATTTTTGTGTGTTGTTTCAATCGATGATTTTATGATGAAAAAAATTAAATAAAAATTGTTGTTATTTGTCACTAATTTTGTGCTGCAATTTCACGCATCAAACAAATTAAGAATTGCATTGATGTCTGGCTTTCCCTGCAATTCATATGTGGGTCACAGCTCTAGATTGGAGTGGAGTTTAGTATTGCACTCCTAATGCATAACTGTTTTATAATATATGACTTGAAAAAGTAGGTGAAACTCAACCGGATTTGTCTTAAACTTGAAAATCACTCCAATTTCAGGTCTAATCGTAGGCTCCAAATATAGCTTACAATTCATGAGATAATTATGGCTTTGAATTAGTGTTTAGATCTGAAAAAAAAGTTTTCCAAACAAACCGATGATAACTTGTAAACACATTTTAGCCTCAAGTTTTCGTTTCGATTTCTTACTAATTTTCACTGCAATTCATTTTCAAACTTTCATTTCAAATAGAAAATGAATTTATAAACGGATGTTGTCTACGAGATTCAAACCGATAGTAAATACTCTTAAACTAGAAAACACATGAGAATCTATTTTCTAACTTTTAACCACTTTTAAAACAATAAGTCTAAACTTTAAGTTAAAACTTAAAACATATTATATTAAACTAGTCACTCATAAAATACTTTTGTAGTATGAAATTCATATAACTGTTAACACTTTCTAACAATGCATTATCATAGTGTTGAGTAAATATTTATATATATCTTTAATTCCGATGAAATGGACTAAAAAAGATAATAAATCTTGCATTTGGTTTCATTGAAGTTCTTTAACAGCCGTATAAGTAGTTAAAGTGAAAATAGTTTGGATTTTCCCGTTCGGAGAACTTTTCGCTTTAAATGTTTTCTAACATTATATAAACCAGAAGTTCATTAAACGATTGGTTTTTTGTGTTGACCTGCTTTTTGACAATAGCATTGGTTCTGGCACTTTAGCACCGGTATATAAACTTATATTCCCACAGATATCACACTAAGAGCCACCAGTTCTTTAATCCGATGCACAACTTATATATAAAAATTTTTAAAAACATTATTGTTTGAGTTCAACACTCAATTTAAGTATCAAAAGTAAGTCAAACTCTATTTTTATATGAATTTTTATAGTAAATCCTTAATAATCAATAGAATATTAGTGAGAATATAAATATAACACTTATTGATTATATTGACAATTTTCACGCCAATAGTTTTATTATTAGACTTATAATAAATAAAAGTAATTTGCAAATAATTATTAATTAGTGCTAATAAATTTAATAACTTTCATATTTCTGTCGAAAAGTACAATAAGAGCTGTGAATACATGAGTGAAGTAAACACTTCCCGATTCTTCCCATTTCTAAAACTTTTGTGTATATTCTGTTCCACAGCTTTGACTCTCAAAAGCGAAAAATTCTTTACAAAAATTGTCAAAACAATTGACAATATCTGTAATGAAAGTAAAATACTTTTTATTAAAACAGAAAGTTTTGACATAAATCTCTAATTTATTTTCAGATTACGGTCGCAAAACTTTGAAGACTTTCATTTCAGTGTATTAACAGTGAATTACCAGTTGTAACCATGTTTATTAATTGTGTGACCATTTTGGTCATCATTCAATGTCTACATCATACCAGTGCTGATCAGCCCTGGTTTTTCGACTCAGATTTTGCAGCAGACAATAGTTCAGCCACTGTTGAAAGCAAAGACTTTATGACAATCGACGCAAACAATACTTCCGATGACTTAAACCAAACTGATTTCGGATATTCCGGCAGAAGTGCTAAATCAATGGATTTTAGTGATCGGGAACGGGAGCCCAGAATCATCAACGACAAAGAGCTATCAATTAAAGGGTTCATCCCAATCGTGGGCTTCAATAACGACAAACACGACTCCGATCCGGAAGACAAGCCAACTAAAGACGACTACTTTGATTACCAACGCTATGCTAATCCTGAAACCCATTCAAAGCCATCATCGAGTAACCAGAACCAGAAACACGTGCCCACTGCCGAAGATCAGAGGTTTATTGGGGCCGCACTTCAAGGTCTGACAGCAAGTTTTGGGGCCAAACCGTTAAGAAGGAAACAGGGATACGAGTCACACATTCCCAACAGTTTGGTTCCCATTGGCAATCCCAATGATGACTGCGTTTGTGTCCCCTTTTATATGTGCAAAAATGGTTACTTAGTTGAGGCCAAGAGTGGTGGTTCCAAATCAGGGAACATCCAAACGGCACAATCAATCATAAGCCAGTTGACACTCCCGGCGCCCGTCAGTATCACTAACACACGAAAGCAAGCGAAACCTCAGGACCAACACCAATACCAACAGTACCTTCCCATCGATGAGCGAAGTACTGACGATCTCTTGGCTAATGCTAATGAACAGTCATTTTCTCAGTCATATTCGCATAATATTAATAATAATGTAAGTTATAAAAAAATTTTAAAGTTTCATACATTTCCCTAAAACTTGATTAACTTAAAATGTAATCTTCCATTAAAATGAGTTCATAAACTGAAAATATATTTGCGAAACAATTATGTAAATTATTAGTGTATTACATAGTGAAATTATAATTGTAAGATTATAAAGGCTAAGCATTTTTATGTTATGACATTTTAAATCATTTTATTAATCTTTTCAAATAGACTGCCCCTCAATATGCGGATGAAGTGTTGGCCCGTATGTTAGGCGTGCGATCGGAGGGTTGTGGCGTTTTGCGGACCTGTTGTCGGGCGCATCCCATCCCTGAGTTCGATATCCCTGATTTCCAACCACCAGTGGGTCCCTATCCGGGCGGTCACTACCAGATACCCGATAACAACGACTTTATCAAAAGATTTACAAATCCTTATCAGCCAAATGTTCAACAAATTCAAGATTATATCAAACCTCAGAGACCGCATAAATATGACTTTCCTACTCAACCACAGCGACCCTCAATTCACCCGCTGACAGCCTACCCCTCTCAAGTAGTTCAAGCGAGTTATGACTTCTCCCCGAAACCTTTAAGTCCATTGAATCCAATTCAAGAATATACAAACATACCGACCCGTCCTTTCAGTTCCCAAATACCAGTTCCGCTTAAACCCAATAATTATCCGTCAATTCAGCCCTTAAGGCCAGAACCAGTGCCCGTATATCCCGGTCATAGGCCTCAGTTCGCCGCTCACTCTATTGATAGTATAGGCGGCGGTGGTTATGGTGTTTGCGGCAAAAGACATGCCGTAGGAATTCACGGAAGGGTACAGAATCTTCAATACCACGAGAGCTCCACCGAGTTTGGAGAGTTCCCGTGGCAGGTGGCCATCCTTAAGAGGTTGGGACCGGCCGACAGTCTCTATGTTTGCGGCGGTGCTCTCATTGCTCCCAATTTCATCGTAACTGCGGCTCATTGTCTCAAAAAGTAATACTTCAATAAATGTTTAAATTTATTGCATTCATCACTAATCCTCATTCATTTCTCAGATATAGCCCGCAAGACCTGAAAGTAAGACTCGGGGAATGGGATGTTCACCGGGAGGACGAGTTTTATCCATATGTGGAGAAGTTTGTGGACGACATTATAGTGCACCCGGACTTCTTCGCGGGCAGTCTACTGAACGACATCGCACTCATTAGACTCGACTCGCCCGTCGATTTTAGACACTCACCGCATATCGCACCGGTATGTCTGGCCGACGCGCACGAGCAGTACGCGGGCCACCGATGTTTTGTGAGCGGTTGGGGAAAGAACGCGTTCGGCCATCAGGGAGAGTTCCAGAGTGTGCTCACCAAAGTGG